CTCAGTCTTTACTCAGTTCAATCCTTGGGAAAGGGAGGAGTAATGACCTCTTGCCATTTTTGAATGGAATGAAAGATGCTAAAGGAAGGGCACAGGATGCTGTCCTGCTTGGGACTTCAATTTTGGAAACAACTGACCTGTTCTCTGAGCCCTAGAAATTCCATACTGGGTTCGCAGACAACTAATTACATTTTGCTTCTTTCCAAGCCAGAAATGTTTCATACTACTAAAAACCAAACAACCCGCACTTGTGCACAAACCTCCCTTGTGCCCCCCTCCTGCCCAAAAGGGTGGGAACAGAAGGGGACAGAAGAAGAATGGGTCTGGCTTACAGGCCAGATACAGGCCTACCCACCTACAAAACTCCAGGAACAGCTTCCACAAATTAAATAATTATATTGATATGACAACAGAACCTTCTTTTCCTTACATTGCTCAAAATCTATTTTTCACCCTATTCCATAGTAAGCACACTGAAACCAGACATATCTTACTTATCTTCTAACCACCTTCCCATCCATTCCCACAACTCACATGCAAAAAGACTGCAAACATCTTGATTTTACAAGTTATTTTTCATTGACATTGCTTGCTTATAAAGGATGAGTTTTTGTAAGTCATCCTTTTTAACGGTTCCATCACAAAACTACTCTGGGCCAAGAGTGTTGTGGCTATTACTCAATGCTAAGAGTCACAGCTTTCCCTACTTCATTCCTCTTTGGTTAAATCAGAGGAATAAAGAGGCTGAAATTGGGTTTCAACAAGCTATTTTTTTTTTAAAGATTTTTTTATTTATTTATTTGACAGAGAGAAATCACAAGTAGGCAGAGAGGCAGGCAGAGAGAGAGGAGGAAGCAGGCTCCCTGCTGAGCAGAAAGCCCGATGTGGGGCTTGAACCCAGGACCTGGGATCATGACCTGAGCTGAAGGCAGCGGCTTAACCCACTGAGCCACCCAGGCGCCCCTCAACAAGCTATTTTAAACAAAGCTAAAACTATGTACCTTCCCATATAGAATTAAAACTGATGATAAAAGTAAACAAAGAAGACTTGATAGAGGTGGGTAAGGATAGTTCCTTGCACTGTACCCACTCCAGCCATAAGTCTCAGGGATACATTCCCAGGTCACTGTCCTTGAAACAATAGTTTGCCATATCCTCATAATTCTTCCATGTTAGAAATAGCTATTTAAGTCTTCTCTTTATTATATAGTTATTTTTAAATGTTTAGCATGCATTTGAGGGCTCAGTATAAGGAGTAAAAAGTGTTGGATAGTGAGGATAAAGGAAGATAGCTATATTTTTACATCTTTTTTCAGAAATAATTTTTTACACTAATTTTTGTTCTAAATTAGGTTTTCCTAATAAAATTTTAATGTTTGAATCAGATTCCCAGTAATAGGAGCTACATAAGTCTTCTGATTCAAAAGCATCAAGGAGCATTACATCTATCCTTACATAGCATTCATCTTCTGTTCCCCAAGATCTACTCCTCAAAGCCCTCAAAACACTAGAATTTAATCCAGTATTCATTGCCTAGAATAAACCTTCACCCACTGATCAACACCTTTCAAATCTAATCTGCAAGAGACACAACATCCATACTAAGATCAAATTCACCACAGTCTGGGGAAATCACCTAACATCCACCTGCAAGGCCGCAGAGCATACATTTAAAAACCCCACCTCTTTAGTTACATGTGACTTTAAGAAGGTATTTTAAGTAAATAGTTTAAAGGAAATTAAGAGAAATATGTACCCATATGTTTACTGTACTTTTTAATAAGACCAACCAGAACTGACCTGAATGTTCCATAGAGTTTATTTCTTAAGTTTATGTATCTGAACCAGATGAAATATTTTAAGTCACAAAATTGTTAAAAATCAGAGTATATATGAAAACCCAGAGTATTTGCCATAAAGAGAACAAATTATATATATTATTAAATATACATACAAATATATATATATAATTTATATATATAATTCTGTCAGAAAAATGTATACATAAGTAAAAAAAATTAAACTTTATAAGGAAAATTATGTCATTTATTCAGCAATTTACCATGAGTCAGGCCCTAGGTCAGGTGATAAAGCTAAAGTGGTTTTTTGTTGTTTTTTTTTTTTTTTAATTTTATTTATTTATTTGACAGCAGAGATCACAAGTAGGCAGAGAGAGGCAGGCAGAGAGGGAGGGGGAAGCAGGCTCCCTGCTGAGCAGAGAGCCCGATGAGGGGCTCGATCCCAGGACCCTGAGATCATGACCCGAGCCGAAGGCAGAGGCTTTAAACCACTGAGCCACCCGCACCCCTAAAGTGGTTTTAAAAAAGAAAAGATAGGGGCCCTGGGGTAGCTCAGTTGGTTCAGTGATCAACTATTAATTTTGGCTCAGGTCATGTTCACAGGGTCAAGAGATAGAGCTCCAGGTTGGGCTCCATGCTGGGCTGTGGAGCCTGCTTAAGATTCTCTTCTCCCTCTACTGTCCCCCACACCCCACTCCTGCACTCTTGCATAATCTCTCTTAAAAAAAAAAAAAAAAAAAGAAAGAAAAGAATCTGGCCTCTGCCTTCTTGGAATTACATTTACATTACTAAGTGAAAATAAATGCTCATATAAGTATGTGGGGTGTTTTTTTCTAAATAATAATGCTAACATATTAGCATTCTAATAATATTAACAAGGCTTTTTGGCCAGGTGTGTGTTATAAGCCTATGTTGGGGGTAGATATTTAGGACACAAATATCAAGAAGTGGCACACAAAAATTACAACTATTGTTCCAAGTGCAAGTGGTGCATGGTCACTGAAGGTGCCCTTTCTCATTCATCCTGTAAAGAGAAAGAAGTCCTGCTGATGAGGACCATGTGGCAGTCCTTCTCCCTGTATCAGAGGACTGACAGAGGAGGAGTCACTTTTGATTTCAAGAGACCAGCTACCTCTCCATTCTCCTAACTAACACTCTTAGGGACAACCAAATAAAGAGACCCCCTGCCACAGCGCCTCTGAAAGGTGCCACCTTGACCCTATTGATATATGCATAATGAAAATCCCAAATGCGGGGAGAACTTGTCTAAGAACTCTGAATTCTGCCAGTGATTTATCCAGAAGGAACTTCTGTGAATGTAGGCAAGCTAAAGCTACACAATGCATCAAATCAAACTCAGTCAGCCTATCTTCTCCAGGGGTCTTTCTTTGGTGGTGATAACACACACTGCCCTTGCCTTTCACAGCTAGGTTTGGGCTTATTACTTAGGTTCTCAAAAATAAAAATATCCTGTTTAAGAATACATCTATAACTGACAGAACTATAAAAGAACAAGAAATGGTAGAGGAAGAAGAGAAATGTGATTGCGAAGGGGCATGTCAAGGATTACAAATCCTTACTACTCAAAGTGTGGTCCATGGACCAGCCCTGCCAACATCACCTACAAGTCTGTTGGAAATGCAGAATCACACATTCCACCTGAGATTTTCTGTATCAGAATCTGCATTTTGTAAGATCTCCAGCTGTTTCATATATACATTAAACCTTGAGAGTCACTCTTCTAAATGATGAGGGAGCAGGAGGCTGGCTGAGGACAAAGCAAAAGCTGGCACCTTGCACCCCCTCTCCACCTGCTCCCCTCCGTAATGTGTGTGACATTCCTCAGGCACCCCTGACTGCCATAAACGAGAAACAAATAGTTAACTTGCAGAGATCACATCCTGCAAGACAGAGTCTCCCTTGGTTTACAAATGTCCTAGAGATCTACAAACAAAGAAGTTACCTTATCAATAGCACAATTTCCAGAGGCAAATAACTCAGTTCCTCAAGCCCTAAATAAAGTTAAATTTCTTCTAAACCCAAATCTCACTAACAAAGACGCTTGATAGCAGAAATGTGAATGCCTTGCCAAAAGACAACATTGTTCAAGCAGCAAGGTCTCGGGTATCCCGGCACCTTGTAGGCCCTCTTTAGCATATGAAAAGTTCCGTTGAAACCTCCCTTCCCCTCACCATCCCCCAACCGCAAGGTACATAACCTGCCATCCCTCACAACCCGGGGCAGCAGCTCTTCCTGCCCATGGGTCCTGTCCCCGTGCTTTAATAAACCACCATTTTGCACCAAAGATGTCTCAAGAATTCTTTCTTGGTCATCGGCTCCGGACCTCAGCCCACCGAATCTCACCTAGGTTCTAGAACTTCATCATAAACACCTGTAAGATTCTATTTCGTATTATACTCTAAAATATACATATTCTATACAGTCTTCTAATTATTTGACATGTCTCTAATTTAGCCTACAAATGGACCCACTGTCTACAAACTGTTAAGTAGTAATTGTTAAAATGTGGGGGAAAGGAATGCTTCATGAATCTGATCCTCAAACAGTAACAATTCAGATACAGATAAAACTTCAGGGATCACATAACCCACCCTCTTCACTTTATGGGAAATAAAACCATCTGAATCAGGAAGGGGAATGCCCCCCAAGGTCAGATTGCTGAATAATGAAGGCAAAGTTGGATTAGGACTCAAGTCTCCTGATCCTCAGTAATATTTTATATCCTATAATAATACTGGCTTAAAACATCATGACTGAATCTTTCCTTTATAAACAAATACTCATGTTACAAGAGAAATCAGTATTAAATTTTTTAAAAAGTAAAATAATTCTTAAAACCAGTACCTTATATATTTAATAGTAGATGCCCAATATGTATTTGAATGAATGATTCACTGAGACAGAGACAAACATTGCTATCCACCTCTTCTTAAAGAGCTGAGGTAAATTATAGAATAATTAATAAGTAATTTTCTTACGGAAAAAAAAAAGTTCAAGTTTTAGACAATTTATAATACTCTTCTCTACAACAACCAAAAATTGCCCTTACACTTTTATCAAAATGAGAATATTTTACGTGTTTAGTATTTGGGTATGTGAATCTGTTTGACTTCAATGAAATCAATACCTGAAGTAGGACTTTTAAAATTATGTAGAATATTAAAGAACAGTAGTACTCACCGATACTAATTTCATCATCTGTTTCAGCATCACCAATACATTCAAACTGGAAATCTTGCAGTGACTGGGAAAATTTCTGTACTGCCATAGACAGATCTGTAATTCAAAGTTCAAAAAAATCGTAAGTTGAAGGTAGCATGGAATATGAGATTTTTCATTTCCATTCTAATTTCCATTCTAATACCATACTTACCAGAAGCTTTTAAAATACTAGCTTGACAAATTTAAGCAGACTTTAAAGAAACTAATAAAGAAATATTTTAGGAACTGGCTCTGCTCTGCTCCCAGGGAATTTGCCCCTTTAAGAAAGTTTTGGTGCCAGTTGTGTATTATCTGGAAGCCAATTCCCAAAGCCTTTATTGAATAACTGCCATTCAGTCCCCATAAATGGAGCATTTATGAAAAAAAGAAAGAAAGAAAAGAAAAAAAGGGAAGAAAGAGAGAAAAGAAAGAAAGGAAGGAAGGAAAGAATGCCACTAAGGTTGCTGCTGGAGTAGGGAAAAAGAGAGGGGAAAGCAGCCATTCTTTGATTAGAAAGGGTCCCCAATGTACAGACTACAGAGCAGGTAAGGAATGTGTTTTGATCTCCTAAGGCCACCTACAAGGCTGTTTACATATAACCTTGTGAATTATAGGGGATCCCAAGCTAAATATTCTTCAATCCTGGCATCAGTCTGAACAAAATCCAGAGTCTGAATAAATCCAGAAGAATTCTTTATTCCTGGAGAGAATAAAGAAAAGCCCAGAATAATGAGAAGTAAATCCCTGGGATGCAGCCTAACAGAGTGATTAAGAATGCACTCTGGAGCCAGGCTGCCTGGGTGGAAATCCAAGTCCCATCAAGTACTTGTTATGTGACCTCGGGCAAATTATTTAACTCCTCTGGGCCTTTGTTTCCTCTTCTGCAAAGAGTGCATAACAACTGCATAACCACCTCACACAATTGTTTTAAGGATTGAGTAAATTAATACTTGCAAGGGTTTAGAACCAAGTCTGATACTTAATAAACACTGTATAAGTTTTTTTAAGTAAAATTATAAATCATTCTGACAATGCAGCATAACAGAGGCTTTAAACATCCCACCTCTCATAACTACTCTGATCATCCATACCAACCTTTCCACACAAGTCTGTGTCAGTAGCAAAACATATTTTTCTGGAATTCACTCTATAATTTCAGTTAGTGGTATCTCACATGGGTTTAAGTCCAATACCTGAACTCTTGCATTTAATTCAAGCAATAGAACCCGCAGAAGATGCTCTCCTCAACAATGTTTAGCCAGACTCCTCTGGGCCCTTACCTTGACTAGGCCTCTACCTTGGCTCCCAGTCCTCACTGGCCCTACATACTTCAGTTTTTGCAAGACTCTTGCCAAGTCATTTTTTTCCCCTCAAGTCATTTTAGAGAGAATTCTCCACTCAGGGATATGAGACCAAAAATCTTCATCCCCTACCCTTGTCCTTGTCCTACCTTCACTAAGGATCCTCCTTCCTTTGATGTCTTCTACTAGTAATTTTCCATTCCAATCCAACATCTCCCTAAACAGCCCCAAACATGCTCCTTGATTATAAATCCCCACTTGTTCTTGTTGCATTCATGGTTGAGTATGATCTCTCTCCCCAATTGTTATAATCTCAACAGCTTTAGCAGTCTTGAATAAAGTCCTCTTTAACATTTTTACTGGTGTCAGAATACTTTTTTCTTTAAGAGAACAGTTTGGCCCCATGCCTCGATATAAGCCCAGGACTTACTGTGGTAACCCACCATTCATGAAACCCTACGCACCTATCGAAGTACTACTGGTGAATGAATAGGTCTTCAAACATTAACGTCACTTTTTTGTGCCATTGTTACCCAAAGAACTCACCAACACCCTGAACAAAGACAATTCTTGAAGATGAAAGGACTCAAGCTTCAGAGAGGCTTTTTTTAAAAAAATCAAAATACACACACAAAAGAGATTTTTTTTTTTTTTAAACAAATTATTCTCTGGAAAGATGATGCTACTGAGAGATTACACCTCTTCCCACAAAGGAGCTAAAACTTTGGGCCAGTGCATATTCTGTTTGAGAAGTACTTTCAATTTAAGAGCTTTAGAAAGTTCTATCACCTTAAGAATGGCCTTTCCTTGGGCTTTCAGGAAGAAAGATAAAAAGAGCCTTCTTAATAAATTATTAGTCAATTAGAAAACAAAGGCTTCATTAGGACTAGACTTCACCATTTACCTTTGAGCCATTGGACAATCACTCATCCTCCCCAAAAACTATTTTTCTTATCTAGACAAGAGAGAATTAATACTGATCTCACAGAGTTGTTCTAAAGACTAAACAAAATATGTGCCTGGTACATATGAGGCAACTCAATATGTGGTGTCAGTTATTATCATTCAAGTCCAACTTACAAAGGTGGGAAAGTTGACTGGCCTTCCAGACAGAAGGGCACTGTACAAAAGTATGCATTTATCTGATAGTGCGCAGGTAGAGAAATCTGGCTAGGGGAAAAGAAATCATAATAGCTATATCAAATGTTATGAGAAGACAAAGTAGACTCCTGGGATAATTTTAAGTCAAGTTGTACGTGGGTACTCTCCCTGAGACAGAAATCACATTCCATTTAACGTCCCACTATTTTTCTATGTACAATACAAATGCTTATGGTAAAGGCATTTGAAGGCACAGATGCAATTTCTACAGCAGAGCTGAGATGGAGAAAGTGTATATGGATGAACCAGGATGCTTAGGGATTTTCTAAGAGATTCTTCCTTCTCTCCCCTCCTCACTACTAGTTCCTCAGAGTTTCCCCTCAAGTAAACACAATGAGTTATCTGGAAGCTTTGTCCTAGGGAACTCGAACACAATATCCCCTAATCTACCATTTCTTCCTAAATACTCCTTGTTTCCCATGGCCTTGCTCCTTGACAAAGAAAGGTAAACTGCTTTGTCCTTTCACAGACATCACATTGGATGCACTATAATCCCTGTTCCCAAACAAGAACACAGAACCCCACTTTATAAGCTATTCTTGTCAATATAGCCAAGTGATTGAGAGTGTAAATTCTAGTAGCAGAGCCTAATACCTGGGCTAACTTCCTGCCTCTACCAATCAGTGACATAACTGTGGGCAAGTTCCTTAACTTTTCTGTACCTTAGTATCCTCATCTGTTAAGTGTAACAGAACCTGTTTCTCAGGGTTACTGTGAGAAGAAAATGAGTTAAATCAGATGAAGAACTTAGAACAGTGTCTGGCACACAGTTAAGCACTTAAAAGTTGTTGGCTATTTCCATGTTAAACATCTTAGAAAAGGCAAAAAAAATTTTTTTTCAGGAATGAAGGTGGCAGCTGTTAGACCTTAGATAACCTTGGAAAATGCCCAAGAAAACCATCTGTTGATAGCAGTTTCAAATTCTCTCTTGATGCACTGCAATCAGGCCATGACAAAGACAACCTGATTATTCAGTATTTCTGTCTAAGAGATAGGTGTCTATTTCAATCCTGGAATGAAGAAAGTACTATCTCTCCCTAATCCTTTTGGAAGCATAGTAAGACAGGATTACATTTTAAAAACCTGGTTCTCAAATAATTCAGATAATTCCAAAAATAATGAAAAATTTGAAATATGACTTATTTTCAACTTCAAGTGTCTGGGTTCTTGATTTTCCTTTTATTTGTTCTCATTTTCTAAAAAACCAAAGTAATAAACAGATCAAAAATATTATCAAGGTGAAGAACTTACGATATCTTCTGCCAATAATATTGATCAACCTTCAAACTGAGGAATTCAGCTCACTCTATCTTGGCTTCATCTCCCTCTGAACTAGAAAGCACAACAACTTTAACTGACTTGAAATCACATGAAACACTATTTCCTAACTGTCTAAAGCTTCTGAACAATAGCCAGATGCACGGTACAGAAGTACTGGTTCTAAAACCTTTAAAATAGGGGCGCCTGGGTGGCTCAGTGGGGTAAAGCCTCTGCCTTCAGCTCAGGTCATGATCTCAGGGTCCTGGGATTGAGCCCCTCATCGGGCTCTCTGCTCAATGGGGAGCCTGCTTCCCCCCCTCTCTCTGCCTGCCTCTCTGCCTACTTGTGATCTCTCTCTCTCTGTGTCAAAAAAATAAATAAATAAAAATTTTTTAAAAAACCTTTAAAATAAAATCGATTCACATCTGACTCTATAGAATTTAAAACCTAATTTTAAAAATTCTATTGTTGGATTTTAAAGTATCAAAATGTATAATGATAAGAATCTACATTTTCTCTTAAGTACTAAAAGAAAGATCAAGCACATGAAATATGACAAGCATAGAGTTTTAGTTTAGGCAAGGGTGTTTCTTTCTCCTATTTCTACCCAACTGTTACAACTGGAAAACAAACAAGGAAAAGATCCCAGTCAGAGCCATCTGGCCACATTCTAAGGTGAACGTAGAGGAATAACATTTACCAGCAACCAAAGTTGTACATAGTAAAGATGCCACAAGTACCATCCATACCACATCTTTTCCATTTGCCTAACCTACAAGTTAAGCAAGGATGTCCTCACATATATTTACATTTAGTTGAAAGAAATTACACTGGGCTTTAATTAGTCAACAATGTTTTTATATCAAAGAGTTAACCTGTAGCACCCATGATTAGATGATGTTAATGAAACACTAAAACTTCATTTCATTAGAGAAATAAAACACACTTAGTAAATAATTATAACTCCTCTTATACATTAAGAGCTACCTTTTACTTTAGAAGTGTTAATGGAATTATTTTTATAATGTTACCTACAGAAGTGAGCTATATTTATGTCAGAGCAAGTACAACCAGCCAGTCCACTGGTACAAGTCAGTTCTTCCTGAAACCCAGTTGCTCTGAGATTAGATTTAAGACTCACAGGAACAATATACCCCAGATGTATGGGTTATAGAATTATCTTTACACTACCATGTAGAAGGTAGGTAGTACAAAGCAATGGGAATACAAAGGTAAAAACAAGATATACCCTTTCCTCAAAAAGGGCACAGTCCAGTAGGAGCATCAGGAATGTAAATAAATCCTACCATAGGTCAAATGATAAAGTCTCTTACGGAGGTTAATAACATCATC